AAGACGGCCTAGCCGATCGGGCCGTGATCGGACGCCATGCCGCACACATGGTGGTATTGTGATGATACTGAATCCGGAAAGTGAGAATGAGATTGTGATACATGTCTCAAATGAGGCAACCTAGCCGACCGGGTCGTGATCGAACTCCGCGCAAGAAAGCAGTGGTATTGTGAACGATGACGAACAGTATTAAATGCCCCAATCTAAAGCTACGAGAATTATGTGAAAGTGATATGATTCTTCTATTTGATGATGTGGTGATCTTTTAAAGATTTTGATTGATCCTTATGACTTCTTTGTTCTTGTATGATAGTTCTTTCTAATGAGATGGTGTTTAGTTATACATACTAGTACTATTCCATGGTAGTAACGTCCCTTTTGCCGGGGGCGCTACATCTTTGAACGGATATAGGTGGATCCATAGTAGACAGTGCCGATCGTAGGTAGCGGAGCATCCTCCACTCAGCAATCTTGGTGAGCCCCTTTTCTTCCAGGGGTTATGCAGTATGTCTTTTGTTATAAATTACCACTTTTGAGGTATAGCCGGGGCCTTGTTGCCGACATTATCATAACTGTCTTTTGTATCTTTAGAGGCTCCGTAGACGTTTGTGGGAGTTATGTACGGGTGTTGGATAGGTCAATGAACTGTGTTGTAATTCTAAACTCTAGTTCTTTTAAACCGTATCTGTATGAAATCTTGGAAACTTAACGATGGTTTAAGGGTTGTAATATAAAATGAACTAACAATGTTGCATGTACGATCTTTCCTTCTGTCTAAATAAATGAAAGCATGGTTTCCTTAATCATATTGAGTTAGGTAGAAAGTGTCCAAAAGGCTTGCTCAGTTGGGTTCACTCGATTGAGCGCCGGTCGCACCTCCTGAGGTTGGGGCGTGACACTCTGGATCTTATCTCAATGCTCGGCACTCGTCAGTGGTGTGCCCCTTCATACCGGAATGGTACGCACAACTTTTGTTAGGATTGACCTATTGGGATGGATTCTCTAATGCCACAGCGGGAACATGAGTGATGTAACCTGCGACTTTCAACCTTTCATACAGCTGGTCGATAGGTTCAGCAATAGCGGTGTATTATCTGAGTGGCTTGCGGTCAAAACTAGGTCGTGGTTTTGGATAATTTTGGCGAGTTGGAGGTGATTGGAAATGAGACGGTTGGGAATTATAGGTATGATAGGCAGTGGCTGGTTGGGAATATCTGGGAGATGATGGTTGATATGTAGGTGGTGGTGCTTGGTATGTGGGTGGAGGTGTTTGATATGTGGGTGGAGGTGTTCGATAGGTAAGTGGAGATTTTGGGCCTTGAGCCACCTTTACTGCCCCAACGTCTTTCTTTTTTGATATGCCTGTCATGCCCCGAACTGGGGGCGAGACCGGTCTCGCCCCTAGGTTCGGGGCGTGACAGAAGTGGTATCAGAGCAGTTCTGTCCTAGGGAGTCTACAAGCCATGTCTAGTAGAGTCTTGTTTATGGGTGTGTTGTGCACCACACTTATAAGCAGGAGGCTACAGGGCATTTAGGACTGTCACTCTTTCTTCTTCCTCTAGATCGTGTGGTAGAGCTCACTTATAAGAATTCAAATTCCGAACTTCTATTTTATTCCTAATAAGACGATGTCTACGTTCAGAAAGATGATCGCTAAGAGATATAGCTGTGGAAGTGTTGAATTAGAGGAACTCGATTTTGCATCTTGCTTACGATGAGTAAATGCGAGGTCTTCAGCAGATCATGCGTGTACTAAAAGGTGCACGGTTCTTGATAAGGAGTTTTTAGGAAAGAATACTTATCCACTCTTACGGTAAAAAAAAGGAATAACGGAATCGGAAGTTAGACACAAGTTGCAGCAAGTAAAAGAAGCATGGTGAAGAAGGGAACCAAGTACCCAAATTAATAAAGATTATCATTATTTACCATTCAGGTTGGGATATATAAGCATTTTGAATTATCTTCAACAGTAATAGATGTACGTACAATCGGCCACACCTATCTTAGTCATGCCTTATGGGAGCTAACGGATATAGTTTGAGAGAAGGACAGGATAGTAGGATCCGGCTGGGGTTAGAGTAATCCAAAATGATGAATGGATGGTTTGCGTTAGTTGACATTTCCGAAGGATATTACAAAAGTGCTAATAGATCTCCTTGTGAGACACCCAGGTGGTGCACTAGAATATTACAATTAGCTGAGAATACTAGCGTGATCAATAAATTCCGAAGATAGGCACTGAAAGTCTGGAAGGGATAAATATTACCTTAGTGTGACTCTCGTCCCTGGTAGAGGAAGGGGGTTGAGCAACGCGAAGAGCCCACGAATGATGCAAGGAGAGCTAAAAGCGAAAGAATATCTTGTTGAAAGTTTCAGAATAAAGTGATAGATAGAAATGTTAGCAGGAAATAAGAAGAGATCTAATGAAGCATTAAGAGTAAGATGTGATACATGGATGACAACGGTAGGTCAAAAAGATGATAGTATTACAGAATCTATAGTCAAATGAAGAAAGAGACGAGGGGAGATGGGCCTTAACAACAAAAGAATATAGGCCATAGAGTCACGTCCTCATTTCGAGAAATAAATTCGCGACTCTAAAGTGATTAACCGAAGGGAAAGTTAGACCCAGAGTAATAGAAATCAATATGGACTGGTGAACAAGATAAACTAAAAATGAATTAGGAACTGAGTGATTTGATAATAGTCAGCATCATGAGAATTCCAGATTGCGTTCCGGCAGTAATAGAATGGATAACAGAAGAAGATCCATGACGAATTCGGAGGATGGTCATTTAGGAAAACGCTTTCCTAAAGCAAGCAATGTGAGCAAAGTTAAGCTTAAGGGACTATATGTGCCAGTTACACTAAGTGCCACCATTGTGATTGAGGAATTTTGTCATCCTTGGTACAGAAGGATTACCGCAAGGCGAGTAAGGTTCATTGATGATATAAAAAGAAGCCAAAGATGGAGAGAAAAAAACATCTATAGGCAGGTCGTCGTAGCTCCAAGTCTTAGTACTCCCCTAAAGGGGGGAATATGGAATGATAAAGGAAGAATACGATAAAAATAAGAAAGGGATGGCATTGCATTTATCCAAATCCTATAGATATGCTACGATTCCAGAACGTTATGTAAGCACGACGTCAAGAAACGGAAGTAAGGGTTCCTGCCCGGGATGCAATTGATAGATAAGGAACCAGTAGGTGAGGTGAGTTAAGACAAGGAAATAACCCAAGAAAGGTTACGCGGAATATGGATATGAGAATGGGTCGACGAGTAGTTAGTAGTTGATTTAGGAAGAGCCTAGTCATGACTAGACAAGAAGTTACAGACAAATCAGTAGATCATGCAAGATAAATATATCAAACCCCAACATGGAGAATTTAGTCTCGCAGTAATGTCATTATAATACTTGAGATATATTCAAATAGGAGTCGGGGTAGTTAAAGGTACAGTATGAGTGTTACGGGGATAAAAGAAAGTACCACTGGGAAGGCAGTCAAAATATCAGTTCAGAAGCAACCCTACAAGCACAAGGGCACGAAGGTAGGCAACTACGGATGATTATAGGCAAGGAAGGACATCAAAAGGTCCATAATAAGCTCCCAACTTTACGAGAGTCAAGGGTTCTCCCTAAGTACTACAACAAAAGACTAGCTGAGGAAATAAGGAAGAAGGCTTCAACTTAAGCACAACGACCTAAAGAGGAAATGGTCATGTAACAACAGTCTCACAACAACATTGGAAGCACTCCAAAGGAAAGTGGCACCTACCGTGGCTAATAAACGGGAAGTAAAATTAGAAGTGATATTCAAGATCATATGAGTTGCACAAAAATTTCTGGCATGTGTGGGCACTAAGATAAGCTAAGTATGGACGTAACATGGAGGCAGAAAGACCAGGAAAAGTAATAGCTTACCTTGAAAGAAAGCTAAGATGGAACGAAAGAAATTATTCGATCAATGATCCTGAGTTGGTTATGTTATGAACGCCCTTAAGGGTTCAGGGTTTTATACATGCAGCATATACAGCCGTAGAAGATTCTCGTATACATTAAAGAAAGAAATGAGCCCAGGTCACAAACAATGGATTAAATTGTTAAAGGATTGTATCATGCATATTCCTCAGTACCCATGAACGGCTAAACAGAATAACTAATACCATGAACCCCAGAGCAGGAGATAATTTAAGCCGACATAAAGGCCGATCAGAAGAAGGAGGAAACTAAAGAGTTACATCAACGAAGTAAATCAGGAATCTAATTATTGGACCCAGAGATATGACAGCATTATTTATATGGTGTTCATGTTGATGTGTTCACAGATCATAAAAGCCTGCAATATATCTTCAAGCCAAAAAGACTTGAAATTGCGACAGAGGCGATGACTTGAGTTATTAAAAGATTACGATGTTAACATTCTCTACCATCCAGGGAAAGCTAATGTTGTAGCAGATGCCTTAAAGTCGCCGATCTATGGGTAGCTTAGCACTTGTAGAGGCCGAAAAAAAGACAATTAACCAGAGAGATTCATCAATTAGCTTGTTTGGGGATTCAGTTAGTAGACTTTGGCAATGGAGGATTTGTACTCCAAAATACCGCAAAATCATCTCTCATAATTGAAGTAGGGGAGAGGCAGTACGAGTACCCAGTGTTGGTTGAGTTGAGAGAGAGGGTTCCACAGCAAAGGAAGCCATTGTTAGAACTCAAAGGAGATGGGGTTCTCAGATACAGGAGTCGTTTGTGTGTTCCAGATGTAGAGGGCTACGAGACAGGATTATGTCAGAGGCACATTATTCGTGGTACTCCATTCACCCTGGGTCTACAAAGATGTATCATGACATTAAGGATGTGTATTGGTGGAACGATATGAAGAAGAACATTGCTAAGTATGTCGCTCAATGCCCTAGTTGCCAGCAAGTGAAGATAGAGAACCAGAAGCCCGGAGGGCTAATATAGACTATAGAGATCCCGACATGGAAATGAAAGGCGATAAACATGGACTTTATCACGGGTTTACCTCGTTCTTATCGTAAATTCGATTCTGTATGGGTGATAGTCAATAGGCTCACGAAATCAGCTCATTTCCTACCGGTCAGATCTTCATATACATCAGAAGATTATGCAAGGTTATATATTAAGGAGATAGTGCGACTACACGGAGTGCCAATATCTATTATATCTGACCGTGAGGCCCAGTTTACAACATATTTTTGGAGGTCATTTCAGAAAGGTCTAGGGACTCAGGTGAGTCTCAGCATAGCTTTTCATCCACAAACTGATGGACAAGCCGAGCGTACAATTCAGATGCTCGAGGATATGTTACGAGCATGTGTGCTGGATTTTAAAAGAAGTTGGGATGAGTATCTACCTTTTATCGAGTTTGCATATAATAACAGTTACCACTCCAGTATCCAGATGGCTCCATACGAGGCTTTGTGTGGGCGTAAGTGCAGATCTCCTATAGGGTGGTTTGATGTTGGAGAATCTGGGTTACATGGGCCAGACCTGATTCAGCAGGCCATAGAAAAAGTAAAGCTTATCCGGGAGCGACTTTTGACAGCTCAGAGTTGTTAGAAGTCATATTCTGACGTACGGCGATGAGATTTAGAGTTCGGGGTTAATGACTGGGTATTCTTAAAGGTGTCACCTATGAAAGGTGTGATGAGATTTGGCAAGAAAGGCAAGCTTAGGCCACGGTATATTGGGCCTTATAGGATCATTCGGAGAGTGGGCCAAGTAGCTTATGAGTTAGAATTGCCCTCGGAACTGGAGTCTGTTCATCTGGTTTTTCATGTATCTATGTTACGAAAGTGCATTGGCGATCCTACCCAAGTGGTGCCCACAGATGATGTACAGATTATAGAGGACTTGCCATACGAGGAAATTCCGGTTGCCATCCTAGACCGAAAAATCCGCAAGCTACGAAATAAGGAGATAGCATCCATGAAGGTTTTATGGAGAAGTAAGAAGGTGGAAGATGACGTGGGAAGCAGAGGAAGAAATGAAGTCTAAATAACCCCACCTTTTTCAAACTGGAGATATGGCTTGAGATTTTTGGGATACCTCAGCACAACTCTATTCAGGCCAGTAGATCATCAGGTAAGCTCTCATTTTGACCCTCAGAATTTATGATGAACAGTTGTGTGAAGCCAAGTGTTGCTATTTACAGAAAGTGGCCATGTGTGGCGTGTATAGTATATTTTCTGGCTGCGTACAGGTTAGTTTTAGTCTAGTGTATAGAAGAGACTCCGGCAAAAAATTTTTTTTTTCCAAAAGTATCTAAAAGTAAACATTCGAGGACGAATGTTTCTAAGGGGGGAGGATGTTACACCTCGCGTTTTTTGTACGTTAAAATTTTATTTTCAGTTAACCGACGTAGACTCGGGGATGAGATCATCTTGACGTTAACGTACTTACGCTATTTATAACAAGCGATAAATAAGTATTATGAAGAATAAAGGAGTACACGGATTATAGAAAACGAGTTTCGTTGAAAGTGGACAATTTGGAATAACATGCAGGTCGAGCAATAATATCCGATAATTATGAACTAGTACCATGGTACCATATGACCACGGTAGTATAATGTGTAAAATATATATATATATATATATATATATATATATATATATATATATATATATATATAATAAGTTAAATTTTAAATATTTTGGGATAATTTTTAAATTATGCGGGTAATTAGTTAATTACCGGGTAACGGGACATTATCCGGTTAACTAATACGTGGATAAAAATTAACAAAATAACCCCCCAAGAGAAACGTGGCAGCCCCCTTTTAGTCTAAGGTGAGTCATTAATCACCTTTACATGTGTCACAAGGCTAATTTACAAAGCCTTATCCAACAAAGACTCTTATGAGCTAATTTACAAAGCCTTATCCAACAAAGACTCTTATGAGCTAATTTACAAAGCCTTATCCAACAAAGACTCTTAGGAGCATATCCAATAGAAAGGGGAAAAGATCAAAACCACATTTGGCATTCTGACTTAAACCAAAAAAACGTGAGAGAGCAGGAACATTTCGTTCAAATTCAATCCTTAGCCTCATTTAATGCCTTTAGCTTCATTTAGTGCCTTAAGCTCCAATTCATTTCTTTGGTTCTGAAATCAAGAACTTGGAAACAGAAGTTACTTTCGTCCAAAATTCTTTAGCCAAAGTTCGATTGGAAATTCAAAGACCAACAACAATTTTGTTCAATCCAAGCATAGGTTCGTTCGTATTTCGCAAGAAGCAGAAAGCTTCATTTCGTTTAAATAATTCCAGGAACAGGTATGTTAAGGCTAAGCTCTTCTATCATTTTGACATGATCTCGTAATTACACGAGTTTGATAACGAGGCATAAAGAAAAATTAATATCCCGGAATTTATGTATATTTTTCTAGTCTTGCAAGTTATAGTATTCTCCTCATTGGGACTTTATATTCAATTGAGTATTTCCTTCTTCCAGTCAAGAGAGCAGGGAGTCTATATATACAGTATCACAATATTTTTATTACCATCGAGCTATAATCGATGGGCAGGCCCCTATTGGGCAACCTCTGATCAGATGGTAAGTTATATGACGGTCCTACTGTGGCCGAGCGTATATGAGCGAGTCCAGTTGGTCGAGATACATAGCCTAGTATGGCCGAGCGCCTATGAGCGAGCCTACTACGTTAGAGTAGTTATATATATATACCGAGCCTTATAGGGCCGAACAACTATTTTACTTACTATATTGAGAGAATTGAGTCAGTGTCAGCAGGTAAGCATATCTTAAGATTATCTTTGACTTCCAGTTACTTGCAGTTATTATATTATCAGTTCAGTTTCGGCTTTCAGTATATTGCCTTACATACTCAGTACATTATTTCGTACTGACGTCCCTTTTCTGGGGGCGCTGCATTTCATGCGTGCAGGTTCAGACAGACAGGCAGGTAGACCTCCTCATTAAGTGTTGCCCGAGTTCAGCTTGATCGGTAAGCTCCATGCCTTTCGGAGTTGTCGGGTCTAGAGCTTTATGTACATCTTGTGTATATATGTATATATGGTATGAATAGGTCGGGGAGCTGTTTCAATCACAGTGTATCCACCAGTAGAGGCTTGTAGACGTATCCTGTTAGTTAGTGAAATATGTTGGGCTTGTAGACCTTGTAGGTATATTTGGTTGGTTTGTCAGCTGCAATAATTACGACGGCCTTGTCGGCCCAGCTTTATATTGATATTTAGTTAGCATTCGCAGTTGTCTTGCAATTGGCCCATGGCCAAAGTATGACATCACATGTTCAGAGTTCCTTAGTCGCAAGTTGGTACGCAAGGTTAGGTGAGGCACCTAGTACCGGTCTCGCCCCCAGGTTCGGGGCGTGACAATGCCGCATGATTGCAATGCCTTATTTGTGGCCTGCAATGCCTCAAAATTCGTTACCATCCCGCTTTTGATGCCTTCCTCGATTCTTTCCCCAAGTTTGATGATATCGGAGAATTTATGGTTTTCTATAACCATCAACCTTTCGTAATACTGCAGATCTTGTGCTCTGACGAAGAACTTGTTCATCTGTTTCTCGTCCAAAGATGGTCTGACCTTGGCCGTTTCCGACCTCCAATGAGTAGCGTACTCACAAAAGTCTCGGTGGGTTTTTTCTTAAGATTCCGAATGTAGAAAATATCTGGTGCGTTTCCCGTGTTGAACCTGAATCAGTCCATGAAATCTGATGCCATGCTCACCCAATTGGACCATTTCTTGGGATCCTGGCTGATGTACCAGGACAAAGCATCTCCAGTAAGACTCCTCATGAAGAGTTTCATCCAGATCTTTTCATCTTTTCCGACTCCAACAAGCTTGTCACAATAGGTCCTCAGATGAACCCTGGGATCACCTGTACCGTCAAACATCTCGAACTTAGGAGGTTTGTACCCCTCTGGCAGTTCTACATCTGCTGTATGCATAGGTCTTCATAATTCAAACCTTCTATCCCTTTGCCGCCTTCGACACCCTGAAGCCGACTTGTCAATTTCTTGAGTTCTTCGGCCATGTTCTTGATGAGCAGGTCCTTCTCAGCTGATTCTGGTGTATAGGAAGTTGGTTGAGTAGAGTGAGGTATGGTCTCCACATATATGGGGTTGTTTTGATGAGTGGTAGGGACTTGGGTGTAGTGATGGTCATTGGTTGAGTTTTAAGGATCGGGAATGGGTTGTGGTGTATTCTGGGGAGTGTGGTAAGTGGCGGTTGGTGGGTACTTGATTGGTTGATGGTGGTGTTGTGGCGGAGTTGGTACCGGTAAGGGATTGAGATTCTGAGGCGTGGTTGCATATTGATGCGGTGCATGAGGGTTTTGTGGATGTTGGTTTGGTGTATTCTGAGGAGGTGCTGGGTTCTTTGGGTTTTGTTGATTAATGTCGGGAACATTCAAAGTGAGGGATAAGTTCGCCAAGTTGCTGACCTGCTCAAGTTCTCCCTGTAGCTCCAGTATCTTTTGTTCTAACCTTAGAACCAAATCATTTGGTGCTGGAGTACTCTGACCATCTGAAGTTTTTGCATTTTTCGCATTTTCCATTCGAATACCACTTAAGTCATCCATTTTAGCCTTCCCTTTGCACTTTGTATTGCTTGGAGGAGGAGGAGGTAGAGGGCCTCTAGATCTGGTATGATACGCTGATGATGCCAGTATGAGCAAACCAACCTTAGGGGTGAGAATAATCAAAATAAAGAAAAAAAGATAAACAAGTCAGTAAGGATTCTGAAATGTCTACAGTGTTTAAACACATATTGCGAGAATGTAAATTCGTGTCCTAATTTGGGAGCCTCGTTGTGCCCGCGGTAGGCCTAGCGACAAATAGATTTGGAGAAATTTAGATGCCAGTGAATGCCTCATTTCATAATATGAAAAATAGACGAATCCCAAAAAGACACTAAGATAATAGAAAAGTAAGTCACTATTGGCACTTGGCCTTATTACATTTTTGGAAAGAAAATAAATCTAGCCTATTTGGTCCCAGAAGGACTGTAAGGCCCGAGAAAATTTCGCTAAGTAATTTAAGATTTCGTGGTGCCAGGTAGGCTAATTATAATATTTTATGTGCTATTAACATTATGGGCATCAATTAGATTTGGTAAATAGGTGCATAAGTCTTATAATGTGTAATGTGGGGTCTAATGGGAGGCCTAAGTCTAAGTCAAATTGGAAAATTTCATAATAGGCTAAAATTCCAAATGAGTTCGCACAAGTCTCCACTTTGGACGAGCATATCTAAATAAATATAAGGTTTTATGTGGTGAACAACCTATCATATGAAAGGTCTTCGAGTCTAGTTTCCAACGCTTCAAACCGTTCGTTATTTGGACATTCCTACACAAAGTTATGATCAAATTATCAAAAGGTGGCAAAATACGATCCTGTGTCAGTTCTGCGATCGCAAAACCATTATGCGGTCCGCATAATTGATCTTCGACCGCAAATCTGGTCGCATACTGGACCAGTGTAACCCAGTTTTTGGCACCAGTTCCGCGATGCATTTTGCGACCCACATTCCTGTTTTGCGGTCCATTATGCGACCGCAGACCCGATTTCGGAGGCTTATTTTTTCTATTTTTATAACCCGACCCCATTTTAATAAATAGGCTTAGGGGCTTCATTTGGGGTCATTTTTCTACTGATTTTAGAGAGAGTTAAGAGCATATAGAGAGAGAAAGAAGGAGCCTAGCTCCAAATCACTAATCTTGTTCAAATCTTCAAGAATCAAAAAAGCTAGCCACTAGATTATCATCCATCCGGATAAGTCCTACTTCTAGAGCTTTTATGCAAGAGGTTAAGAGTTCAAATATATGGTAGGGTTAGAAATAATCCATGCATGTGCACTAGGTTGTAGTATGTGGAATTTTCAACTATTTTTGGGTAGTTTCTTGTTGAAATTAGTTGAGGAAAGAAGGGGTTTCAAGTATAGGACCTTGAAGCCTATTTCACATGTTAGGTGTTCGATGACATCCCTAGGAGAGTTGCACCATGGGGGTCTT